GATTGAACTCAGCTGCTAGCGGAACTGACAATGATCATGAGCGCAAGACTCTGCAAGAAGGTCGGAAGCAAAATCGCTAGCGCAGAACACACGGTTTGTTCGCGAGCGGTGACTTCACGCATCATCCACGAATTGCAGCGGCTCAGCCAAAACTCGGTCTACGAAAACATGTGACAGCGCTACGTTGGATACAGCAGGCAGGAGCTACGGTTCCCTGTCAGCCTCAGAACCAGTCTTCTACAGGCATGCTGTTCATGAAGGATCCCAGCAAGTGCTGCTGCTCATGCGCCTGAAGAGTGTCCCAACTCGGGATTGGCGCTTCTGCTGCCGGCCGAATGCAAACCAAGTAGAATTTGTCGACTCTAGCAGAGCTCTCACGGATTGCCCAGCGTTTGTCGCTAGATGCACTCTTCACCAATTCATGTTCTCTGCAGGCTAGTGTTTCCCAGTAGGTGCTCGCAGAATTCATTTTGTGGTGGCATGTTACCATGCGACCACTCGCCAACACACCAGTGCGATTCTTAGGATGCATCACAAGCTCCGCAGCTTTCTTGGCCTTCAAATCCTGCTTTGCCAAAAAACGCGTACGGGGTTTCAGCTGCTTGCATGCCGATGGTTTCAGCACATGTGCGCAAGAGCCTACCGCACGTGAACAGACCCAAAAGGGTCATGTCAGCCCCACAGTGGTACCAGCGATAGTGAGACGTAGTGGCAGTAGTTGGCGCAGTCAGGGGACCTGGAAACTTGTCAGTCGAATACTCCCACACCACACGATCACCACATGCCCACACTCGTGCTGGCGTCTGAAACACACTCTGATTTGGCAAATTCACAGCTACCATGGCCCTGCAGAAAGAAAGCATAACTGACGGATGCAACTGCCAAAGCCTCTGCTGGTCAGAATTTCGGAAATCAGGCGGTAACAGACTGAGCATGTAGTGCACGGAACGCTGCAGTTCGGTAAGAATAACACGCTGCCAAGATGAGGTCTGGTTCTTCAACCAGGTTGCTCTACCTGCTGAGAACTTGATAAGCTCTGGCGGGGGAAGTTGCCAGAAGTGAGACATAGAATTTGTAACTTGGTCCTGCGCCAAGAGCTGATACATCGATTGTTCATCCAACAGCGTGCTTTCTGCCTGCTGTAAGGTGAGCTCTGCTCCTGGATCTCCCGGCGCGACTGCAAAGTCCGCTGTATGTCTGGCCACAATCAACGCTGCTGCTTTCGGACTTGTCTGCATTTGCCCCGCCGGAGACAATACCAGTGGAGGTCCTGCTGCTGCTTTGGATAGCACTCCTGGGACATGGGGCTGACTAGGACCTGGTGGGCATTGCGGCGGGGGTGGCTTCATTGCACTGCGCACTGCAACACTGCCAGAAGACATGTCGGGCAGGGGAGGCGGGGGAGGCGGAGGAGTTGCAAGCACTTGTGGCGCCTTCGGCAGAACATGAGCTGCTGGCACCTGCTGTTGCGGGTCAAGCCACACTGGAGGAGGATACGGCGCAGCTAAAGACATTGGCACAGACGCTTCCGCTGGCATCAGTGCCGGGTTGGACGCATTGCCTACCCACTCAAGAGGCGGGCCTAAAGACACATCCGAAGTGACTGAAGACGCACACTCTGAGGCTGCGCCAGACACTGGAAAGCGTGCATCCACTGGATACTCAGATTGCCTGCTGCTACCCACCGACTGACGTACTGCACGTCTGCGTGGTAAGGGGGGCAAATTTGCAGCTGGAAGCGCACGATGCCTTGGCATCGCTTGAGGCGACCTCTCCCTGCTCCCACGTCGAACTCTGCGAGACCTACTTCGACCACGTGGCATGGCTTTGCCCTACACTGGCAGCACTACGGAAGTGGCAAACTTTCAGGTGTACCACACTCGAGCGAGAACAGACATGAACGGACATGACCTTGCGTGTCTCTCCGAGTCCCAGAATGTCTCTGTCGCACTAGCAAGAGAGCTACGACAGCATGACAGGCAAGAGCGACAGGCTGCAGGCACTGCACAGTCTTTTGCGTTCCACGACAACAACTCACATACCGGTTTGGACAGCGGTGAAACTGCACATCTGCGACACGAGACATAAGATTACAGCCTACGCAGAAAGCCCTTCTGGCGATACAACTCACGCAACAACTCAACTTGTCGTCTACGGTCACTGGCAGGCCAAGCGTACTTCAGAATCAAAGCTTTCCTAGAATGGAAGCCAGCTACCCTCACTCGCATAGAGCCTGCACTGCAAAGATGGCGAATTTGCCATGGCATCACCGGTTGGTTGTACAATATTGTACGCTGTTCTGTAGAAATAGTGAAGCCGAGAAAGGAATGATCTGTAACTGCTTCCAGCTCAATGGATGAACCGTAAAAACCAGGATGAAGGAACTCCCGCACTGCACCAAGGTTGCTGCACAAAGCATCGCACAACAGTAAGCGGTTGTCGACATACCTACAAATAAAGAAATGCTCGGATAGCAAGCCACACTGTTGCATTTGTACCTGAAAGGAGTGTCGCCGTATCCTCTCACGTAGAATCACTGGTAAGCTGGACAGTACTGGAGATATTTGGTTCCCAATGCATGTACCACGAATTTGTTGGTAGCATTGATGGTTCGCCACAAAGACTCCTGTTTGAAATGAAAGCTGCACAATACCAACCACATCCCGCAACAGCAATACACGCAGATTGCGAGAAGTTCCACCTTTAGGTCTATGCGGCAGCGCTCTCTCAGAAGAAGGCTTGGACATGCGATGATCTACACTGAATCGATCAACGCCGGTACTGTCATGATACTGGCTGATGAGCATTTGCAAAGCTTGAACGATCATGTCACGAGGGACACTGTTGAAAAAGCCCACCAAATCATCATTATACTCAAGCAGTTGCACACTGGAAGGTAGCTCATGCAACAAAGCGTGCAGTCTCTTCCATATGGCTGGGAGTGAATCTTCAATGCTGGGCCACACAGTGCGAACCATGAGCTGTATGACGTAAGCAGTTGCATTCAGAAAGCGACGTATCGGTGCACGCAAATAGGACACAATGGTGCGCCCTTTGAGAAAAAGTTTCTTGCGTTTCAAAAGCACAAAGCCAACAGGAAGACTTCCTTTCCGGTCAATGCCCCATGGATATTGCTTAGCCAGCACTGGTGGAATCTGCTCAAATGGTCACAAGCGCAATTGCTCAGCATTGGTGCTCAAGGGTCGGAACACCAAGGGGTCCGACCATGTGCGCATGACGCTTGCAAAGTAGAACTGCGGACAGAAAGCCATTAAGTGGTTGGGATGATGGTCCTCACAGTGAATCACAAAAGACAGTAACGCTTTCTTACATCTTTGGATCAGCGGCCACTCTAATCGGCGATGCTTGCGGACAGCTTGCAGGTGCCAAGACCACTGTTGCTGAAGAAAACAACGGAACTCATTGTCAAGAGATTTAGGCAAGCCATGCATGCTTCTCCATCTGGCAAAACTTGCACAAGCAGCTGCAAGATACTGATGCTGCGATGGAAAGAATGTAGAGTTAGCGCTCCCCTGTCCCAAGAAGTGCATCTCAGAATGCAGCGCACCTAAGAACTCAATACCGGCAGCAATGTGTCCCTGCACGAAGCACACTGGCGAAAGAATGTTGGCAAACTGCTGACACGGACATGGTAACTGCTGCACACCTTGCTCAGCCAAAAACTTGTTCCAAGACTGAACATTGTGCAACAGGTCTTTGCAGGCTTGATGCTTTGTCTCCCGAATTTTGTGAGTGGGGAGATGAAAAGGCACTAACTTTATAACACATGCTTGAATCTCAGGATGCTGTCGCGTAGCCACTGCTCCACACGGCGTGTAAAATCATCACGCGCAAGAAATGGAATATGTAAAGAAGGACGACCTTTGGGCCAAGTCATCTTGCGGTGCCTTACCACACCTTCCAACAACTTCCGCACTCGGGTCTTCACAGGCTCTTCCAGACACAAACTGAGTCGAAGCATGGCGTACACTTCTTCATCCACAAAACGCTCACTGCGTAGCAGCTTTAGGGCGTCAAAACTGGCTTTGGTGAAGCTGGCAATATCAAAGAGAAGTTCCCACGCTTGTCTGCGAGCAACAGCAAAGCACAAAGGCTGCGGAGATACATGAAGACGCTTATTTTTTTTTTATTAATAGAGGATCATAAAGGTAAAATCTCCATACGTATCCTAGATGGGTGAAACCAGTGCAAGCGACTTCTGCGCCCAAAAGCACCAATTCTCTGCAGTCCCAGTGCAAGAGGCTTCTGCTCCCAAAAGCACCAAGACGCTTACGGAGCTTACGCCACAATCGAACTCCAAAACGAGAAAAAGCAGCAAATCGTTGCTGTCTAGCAGGACGAAATCCCAAGGCAGTACGCTTGAGAAAGATCTGCACAAAAGGATAGTTGAGTTTCGGCTGCCACTGTGAGATAAGCAGACGCTCTAACGCCCAGGCCTCTCTGTACGAAGAACAAGATGCGATTTTTATGAGCGTAAACTGCTGAAAGCACTGGTTTTGATGCCAGTAGTGTATGGCCAACTCAGCTTGAGCCTCATGTCCTCGCTCCAACTTACGCAGAACAGACATTCGATTGCCTTCACGCAGAGTCACCGATACAGCTGTAGAACCAATGTACATCATCGTAGATGGTTGGCGATACTGCTCAATACTGCCGCACCGCGTCCAGTCCACTGCCACTTTGATATATACCGCACACTGGTCACGAAATTGTAGCCAGGAATACCGCGTAGGAGTCACACCCATTGACTGTAGCTTGGATTTGAGGGCCTGTCCCCAAGACGATTTCGCAGGCTGTTGAAAGTGAAACAGCAAAACTAGATGCAACAGACCTTGCGACCAATTCAAGTCAGCTTTCGGAAGATGCAAGCACTCATGTTTGAAAAATGTAGGAGCTTGCCCAAGCAGACAAATATCATGCAAAAGCTTCTTACGCGTCGCACTCCGCGACATGGGAGTATGCTCCACTCGCCAAGCTAGTCACGCAGCTTGGAACTTCGCTACTGCAATGCACTTGCTGAGGTTGGTGACATTCATGCGAGCAGCAAAGTTCGGGTCAAGACCAAATGCGACCGCAGCAGCAAGCAGCTCGTTCTTATCGGAATGCTCGGCAAGAAGTGCAACCACATGAGAAACATGCTTGGTGAGCTCACGATACTTGCCTTTGTATTGGGCTTTGAGGGAAGCAAGCCATTTGTCGACACTTTCATTGGTGACTGCGGAAGGACGACACTCCTTCATGGACACCTTGGGCTTGCCTTTGACAAGGGCACGTGCTTCATCACGGGCAGCAACGTCGTCAGGGGCCTTGCGTTTCAAGCGAGACACTTCCTGAGCATGAGTCTTCTTGCCGACCACAGGAGGCTGACTGGAACCAGCAGCATCGGAACGCAACTGGTCAACATCTTCGTCTTCTTCAACTTTGTTCTTCTGCGGAGTAAGCATCAGTCCCGCCTGCGCTAGCTTTGCCTTTGCGCGAGCAAGCTCATCTTCAGCAGTAGACTCAACAGGCTTGGGAATCTTGCTTTGTATCTCTTTCAAAAGTGCCTCAACAAGAGCAGCCATGAACTGCGGCGCTTGCTTGTGTTTGTCAGGAACAGAGCTTCCGGCTTGCTTAAGGCTTTCAACAGCGGCACTGTCAATGTCAAGCTTTGCTTCGCGGATGCCCTTCAGGAGCTGCGTGGCCAACATTCCCTCTGCAGCACTGCGAGTCCACACAACAGACTGAAACCGTCCTTCCGAAAGCATCAAAAGGGAGAACTCACTCATGCCACGGAAACACATCTCGTGCAATCTGATACCTTCAACTGGGCGGCCGGCAAGATTGGCCTTCCTAGACCAGTCAGTCGGTTGCACAACGCGGTAGAACTGATGATTGCCAGCTCCTACTGCAGTCGAATCAATGAACGTATCATCGCTTCTGAAAGATGCAGGATATGTCGGCTTCGGAGCAGGAACGCTTCCTGACCCGTAATTGCTAGCACGCTCTCGATCTTGCGTCCACCAACTGCTGGACTCGTTTCCTGACCCACGACCCCAGGTATCAGAGCTCCACTTGTCATTGCTTTGCCAACGGCTGGAATGTGCGTTCCACATGAGTGCACAACTAAGGAAGTTCTACAAATTTGCACTGATCCTCAGACGAGCTGCAAACGCACTGAATGTGCTACCATTTTGTTGCGAACACGTCAAAGAACAAGCAAGCACTTCGACCCCCCCCCCCCTTGGGTGGAGATATTACGGATTGAAACACGCAGTCTGAGGTCACGCTACCTCCTGATTTCAAACCTGTTCAGCAACTGTTCAAGACATCGTACTGACTGTGAACACAGTCGCAGTGACAGGCAACAGACGGTGACAAGTGCAGACGCACTTATTAGGAGGAGGAATTCTGTCAGACTGTGGCCCCGATCAGGAGGCGAATGACTGGTCAGTCTTGACCACATAGACTCAGTAGGCAACCCTGCCGCAGACAGTGCGGTCAACGAAAACTGTCTGGAGCACACTTGTGCATATCTCCACACCAAGTCTCAATTCCTTCCACCTAAGATTCACCTTCTTTTATCCTGTCAATTAAAACCTCGCACTCACTCAGAAAACAGTCTGCAGGTACGTTTACACCCCTCCCTGGGGGCGTCTTCGTTGGCCAGCGACCCCCAGGGAGAGCGCTGGCCCCCTGCTTCAAATCTAGCTTTCAAAACGGACCTTGCTCAACAGCGATTGATTCCCTTGGTGACAGGGTTGGCACACACACACACACACGCACAGACACAGAGACACAGAGACACAGAGACACAGAGACACACAGAGACACAGAGACACAGAGACACAGAGACACAGAGACA